TAACACATACATAGCACTAACGTATAGCTGCCGTTCGAAACTTACTAAATAATTATCTTCTCTGTTGTGTCCTCATTTTTCTTAATTTTGAAGAAAACTAAGATTTTCATTAGTGAAATAAATATTTCTCCAGACAGAAAAGTAAATTTAAAGACTTACAATTTATGCTATCCATATCAAATATGTGGATTTAGAGCTATCTCTAATGAAAACTTCAATCCCTCTTAAGCACTTAAGCAACAATCATCCATCAGCTTTACAGCACCTATAACTTTGTTGGTGGGATGACCAGGTTGCTGTGTCACTGAAGAATGAACACTAAGCAGGATCAAATCCACACCTGAACAACTTAAGTGGAACTAGTTACTACTATCTTATTCGTCAACTGTTACAATATCCTGATTTTGTTATGCAATAGTTAACTTTCTTTTCATTATGTAGTTTCTATTAATATTTATATTGCAATAACAAGACAATCCATGTGTGATTTAGACAGACTATTCAGACCCTTTCCGTCTGTGCGATTAGCAATGTAGTTAAAAATATACAAATAATTAAAATATAGATTTAAAAAGGAGCTCAATCAAAACTCCACCCAGAATATTGCCAAAGAGCAATATTTTCAACTCAGTAGGTCAGATTTCAGGTCGACTTATGAAAACGCTTAAGTATATCAAAGGTGGGCATATATTTCACTTGCACTGTGACAGGAATGGCCATGAGGATGTACTGAACTGAATTCTCCCACCACACACGATTTGTTTCCCTGAAATCAAAGTAGACACTACGAGATAGAGCAAAAGCTACAGTCTCAGGCTAGAAATAATATTTTTGTTTTCTACTTCAAGAATTAGCTGTGACGCATTGTCCTGTTTGGAGTCAACAATAAAATACACACATCCTTCATATGAACCACTGGGTGGATTCTCTGCCTTCTCCGTAATACTGACCTCTGATCTCTAAGGAGATCTGTGAGCAATTAAAAACAAATTTCAAACTTTAGGATCCAGCCAAGAAGACTACTTACAGGCCAACAAAAGTCTAAAACATGCATACTGAATTAAGGACTACAAAGATAAATAGATCAGAGAAATCCAGAAGCTTATATAGAAAAAAATATATAGCTGAGAAGATCTCCATACCAGGCTTCACCTGTCCAACTTACAGACCCATACTTTCCATTTCCTTTCCAACCACACCAACAGATGCCCATGGCGTGATGAAAACTCACCATCTGTCAATTACTCTTTGATGTGCCCCTCACAGTTGTACTCCCAAAGGCTAAGTTGTATGTTCTCCCTAAACCAGTAGTATTTATTCCAAAACCCCATTAGGGGAGTTCTATCATTACTGTAATTGGCTAATTAGTTAAACATTAGATAAACCATGAAACCAAAAATAAAAGGTATCTTTAAAACTAAGGTCAAAACTTTGAAAAGGCTTGATAAAGGCAAGTTACTACGAAACATTTCTGTTGCAAGAGGCAAAGGTAAGAGAATATAAAAACTGAGGTAAAGCATAAAATATATAGTGCTTCTTAAACTTTAGCATGGAGGCTGTGTGAAAACATGCACTGCTGGATCCTATCCCCTTAGATTCTGGCTCAGTGAGTATGGGGAAACCAAAGGTTTTACATGCTGAGAAATTCCCACAGGATGCTGATGCTGTTGGTCTGGGAACTGTACTTTGAGAACCATGGCTTTTCAATTGTCTAAATTTTTAATCTACATTAAAGAACCAAATATAAACTTGAAATTGTTATGAATATAAATTTATGAAACACATGAAGTACCAATTGGCAAACCTATATACTACAAGGAAAGGCCTTGGGACTAATAAAAAGACAGTTCAATTATATATGTTAGTGAGATACACACGTCATTTTTTATGGCCTACTATTTTAAATGAATTTTTTAGTTAATGTATAAACTATGAGAACTCAAATCATCAAAAGAGATCTCCTGTCAAATATGGTTCATAAAGTACCACTACCATCTGAAATTCCCTTCACCTTCACTATTTGTAAGAAGGAAATTCTAATGTGATAGCCTCGGTGAAAAGGCTTCCTAAAAACGCAAGCTCACAGTATCAATGAAGCCTTAAAAATAAAAGGTATCATTATCTTCAAATTACAGATGAGATTTCTCCCTCAGGGAGGATAAGAAATATCTAAAGGTAAGTCAGCCAACAAGTGCAAGAGTCGAAACCTGAATACAGATCTGCCCCCAAATTTTATTTTTTTTCAACCTTATGATATTACAGTACAGTCTTTAAAAGAAAAAAGTTAGAAGAAACATTGAGGTCCCAACCAATCTAAACACCTTCAAAACAAAAAATGCTCAAATATATATAGCTGTGAGAACTAAATGAATCAGAAGCGTTATTTTATCTGCTGTTTTGAACATAATTGTAAATATCACCTATAAGCTATACTTACTATTAAATACCTAGACAGGATCATCAAATAACAGGGGACTAGAAAGGAGCTGATATACCAGCAATGAAGCAGACTTTGGCAACACAACTCCACTTAGCAAGACTTCTGTGAAGAATGGCTGACAGTAAGATTCACAAGCAGGTGCCACAGGGGAAGTGAGGTAGAGACAACCAAGTTCAGAGAGAGCTGCAGAAAACATTAGATGCACACTGGAGTAATACATTCAGAGGTGGGGCATTTATGGACTGCTTGGAAAGCAGAGCAGACAAACCAGCCCAGTGACAGCAATCACCATTGTGATGATGAGGCCATCATGGCAAGTTTATAATTTTAGAAACTATAAGTAGAAACAGAAAAGAACTGTGTCTCACCATTTCTGTTAAACTGTGAAGAAATTCAAATGTCCAGTTTTACACTATATTCAACACCAAATTCCAGGATCCAGCTCTTTCCATAGGTTTGGGACGTTCTCGTCAACTGCTTCAAGCAGCTTCCTGTTCCCTTCTCCCTATCTTCTCCTTCTGGTATACCCACTATTCTTATATTGCTCTTTCTGATGGAGTCAATATAGTTTTCATAGTGTTCCCTTATTTATTTTTTATTTTTTGGAATGAAGCTCAACTGCATTAGCCATTAGTGAAATACAAATAAAAGCTATTATTACATTGAGACACCACCTCATACCTGTTAGAATGCCTATTATTAAAAAGACAAGTAATAACAAGTGTTGGAGAGGTTGTAAACAAAAAGAAACCCTCATTTGCTGTTGGTGGGAATGTGGATTGGCATAGCCACTATGAAAAACAGTATGAAAGTTCCTTTAAAAAAATAAAGAAAGAAATTAAGAATAGAGGTAGCTTCATATGACCAAGGCAACCCTCTTCTGGGTATCTAACTGAAAAACTTGAAAACATTTCTTCATAAAGATATATGACCCTATGTTCACTGCGGCATAATTCACAGTGGCTAAGACATGGAAACAACCAAAGTGCCCTTCAACAGATGAATGGACAAAGATGTGGTGCATATCTATACAATGGACACACTAATCAGTCATAATAAAAGTGAAATACTGCCATTTGCAACAACATGGATGGATCTTGAGAACATTGTGCTAAGCAAACTAAGCTGGAAAAAAGTCAAGAACCCTACGATTTCATTCATATTTGGAATATAAAACTGAAAGTAACAAACAAAAACTCACGGACACAGACAACAGTATGGCGGTTACCAGAGGGAAAGAGGGGTGGGGGAAAGTAGTAAAGGGGTCAAATACATGGTCACAGAAGGACATCTGACTTTGGGTGGTGAACACAATACAGATACAGATGATATAGTACAGAACTGTACACCTGAAGCCTATATAATTTTATTAACCAATGTCATTTAATAAAATTAAAAAATAAAGAACAGCATAAAACTTAGAAAATAACTAAAGGCATCTAGGTCCCTTAAAAATAAAATAAAATACTGGCCCCAAATGATGTTCTAGTGTTTGAGATGAGGGAAGTATAAAGATCTGCAATAATTGCAGGAAACCTCCTAAAATAACTATTGTTTCTTTAGAAAGTGAAAAATGAGTAAATAAAATAAAGACTTAACATGTTAACAGTAAGTTAAGAACCTAGGAACTGTTAGGATAGCCACTATAAATTTTTTTAATTTTTGAAAAAACAAAATAGTAAGTGTAGGTAAGGATCAAAGAAATCAGAGCCACTGTGTACTGTTAATGGAAAGTGTAAATGTACAACTATTATAAAAAACATCATCACAGAAGTTTCTCAAAAAATTAAAAACAGAATTATTATATAATCCAGCGCTTCTAGATGTACATCCGGAAGAATTAAAAACAAAATTTCAAAGAGACATCTGTATACCCATGATCATTGCTTCATTAGCCACAATAGCCAAGAGGTGAAAGCAACCTCAATGCCTATCAGTGGGTGAACGGATAAAAAAATGTAGTATACAAATACAACGGAACATCACTCAGCCTTAAAAAAAGGAAATCCTGTCATATGCTATAACATAGATAAACCTTGAGGAGATTATGCTAAGTAAAATAAAACAGTCACAAAAAAATAAACATTGCATGATTCCACTTGAGGTATATAAGACATATAAGTAGTCAAACACATAGAAAGTGGTTTGGCCATTACCGGAGGCTGAGGTGAGGAGAAAAAGGAGTTATTCTTCAATGGGTAAAGGGTTTCAGTTTGTACAATGAAAAAGTAGTTCTAGATATCTGTTGAACAAATGTCCATATAGTTAACTCTATTGCACTATACACTTAAAATGGTTAATATGGTTTAAAAAAAACTAAAAATTAAATTGTGTTGAAAACTCCGGTAAGGTTAATAGAAGTATTAAAAGGTTTAATATTACTGAAGAAAACAAAATAGTCTCACATGAGTAGATTCAATTTTAATCATTGTAATCTCTTATAATACCAATTCCCATAAGATTCTAGGACTCTATGCTTTAAATGTGTAATTTAAAATGAAAAGGAGGTATACTGTATCAGAATTGTTTGGCAATATTTTAAAATTTTACTTATTCTCACCCAGAGAGATGCTCCCAGTTGAGTGAGCCATCATTACTGATGCAACTATGCTTTATTCTTCAACTGTGCTGGGACTGAAAACAGATTGAAAATTTCATTTTTAAATTATAGTTTAAATCATTTGTAAGAAAATTTATTTAAGCAAATTTTTCTATAATAAGGAAATTACATATATTGTTTGATATAATTAAACTTTCTTCACATCACAAAGCTAAACATGGATTTAACTTTCTAAAGGCAAATGTAGTAAATTATAAATTAGGCGACTCTAAATTATGTTGAAAAATCCATTTTGCGATCATGCCTGAGCTAGGCACTTTAAGAGAATAGAACCAATAATATATAAAAATGCAGGCAAAAATACTTCTCATGACTCCTGAAATATTCTGCCCAGGTCATTTCCCTTTGCCACAGCTCATTTGTTTATGTGTATTTATCTACAGATGCCTTTTCCCCCATGATCTCCTCTATTCCTTTTTGTTCATCTTCTCTCCATCCCCACACATTTAGAAGAAGAAAAGAACTAAATTTTCTATACCCAAATTTCAGAAACAAAATCAAGGATATCTTCAAGGGCATCTCTCATTTCCATACATAGCTGTTTCATCTCCAGGGAACAAAGGCACATTTAAAAACTTAGGGATCATGAAATCTATTCACACTGACTTCACTTTGGTGCATTTTTCTTACACTATATGTGTAAAATCTACTGATAAGTGCCAAGTAGTATTGTAAAATTAAATCCGTAAGAAGCTCCACGAACCAAAACATTCTACTGCTAACATTTCCTTAAAGATTACATAAATGGGCCCTGGTCAGATAGCTCAGCTGGTTAGAACACTGTCCAATATGCCAAGATTGCAGGTTCAATCCCCAGTCAGGGTACATACAAAAATCAACCAATGAATACATAACAAGTAGAAGAGCAAATCAATGCTTCTTTCTCTCCTCCCCCAAAACAAAATTTTAAAAATTTAAAGATTATATAAATACATTATTTAACATGAAAATTAGACACTATAACCTTTATTCTTAAGAGTATATTTCAACTTTGTAGTATCATCTGTTCCTTAATTCCTACTTTCTTTGTGTTTAAATAGATATTTTCTAATGCACTTTTTTCATTTCCTTGTTTCTGACATTAAATTTTTTGCATTATTTCCTTAAGTGGTTGCCCTAGAATTTGCAATTAGCATTTTAATTTAAAACAATCTAGTCTGGCCCTAGCTGGTGAGGCTCAGTGGATTGATCATGGGCCTGAGAACCAAAAGGTAGCTGGTTTGATTCCTAATCAGGGCACATGCCTGAGTTGCAGACCAGATCCCCAATAGGGGGCATGCAAGAGGCAACCAAACATTGATGTTTCTCTCCCTCACTTTCTCCTTCCCTTCCCCTCTCTCTAAAAATAAATAAATGAATCTTTATAAATTTTTTTAAAAAGAACATCTTACCAAAAGAAAATAAAAATAAAAATAATAATATTCTAGTCTGAATTAATTCTAATAATACCTACAAACTTTCTTGTAATACACCTCCATTCTCTTTCTTTTTACTATTATCTTCAAATTATATCTCCACATGTTATAAGCTCATCAACAAATTTTTATTATTCCTTCATGCAGTTGTCTTTAAAACAGGAGAAAAGTTCCAAGGAAAAGTGCATTTATGTGTATTTTTATGCATGTCTTTCCTAATAATTATGTAGTTACTATTACTATTGTTGTTTCTCATGTGGGATAGAGTTTATTGTCTAGTTTCTTCTGTTTCAAATTGAAGGACCCCCCTTAACATTTCCTGTAGGGTAGGTCTACTGGCAACAACCTCTCTCAGTGTTTATTTGTAAATGTCTTAACTTAATCTTTGAAGTTCAGCTAAATACAGAACTCCTGGCTGACTGTCTTTTTAATATTTTGAAAATGTCTTCTAGCCTCCAAGGTTTCTGGAATAAGAAATCAATTATTAGTCTTATTGGGGATCCCTTTTATATGTTATTTTTCTCTTTCCTGCTTTCAAAATTTCACTTTTGTAAATTTGACTGTGATGTGTCTAAGTGTGAAATACACTGAGTTTATTGAATGTGTTAATATTTTTAATTTCACTTTTCTGCCATTATTTATTTAAGTATTCTCTCTGTCTCTTTCTTTTGGTCTTCTCGGTTTGAGACTCCCATTGTGCGTATGTTGGTGCGCTTGATGACATCATGTTGATCCCCTTCAGCTCTGTTCATTTTCTTTATTTTCTTACTACTCCTCACAATGGATAAGCTCTAGTGAATTATTGTTTTTTTTTTTATATTTTATTTATTTATCTTTAGAGGGAAGGGGAATGAGAGAGGGAGAGAAATATCAGTGTATGGTTGCCTCTTGTGTGTCCCCTGCTGGGAACTGGCCTGCAACCCGGGCACGTGCCCTGACTGGGAATCAAACCGCCATACTCTGGTTCACAGGCCCACGCTCAATCCACTGAGCTACACCAGCCAGGGCTTCTAGTGAATTATTTTCAAGTTAACAAACTATTTCATCTGTCAACTTATATTTGTTAAGCTCGTGTAGTCAGTTTTTCATTTCAGTTATACTTAAAAACTCCACAATTTTTATATGATTCCTTTTATATAGTTTCTACTTGATTGATATTCTCTTTGGCAGGACATCATTCTTATACCTTAATTTAATTCTTTAGACATGGTATCTTTAATTCTTTGAACAGATTTAGAAAAGCTGACTTAAAGTCTTTTCTATTAAGTCCAATCTCGGCACCCAAAGGGACAGTTTTCCCTTGGTTGATTTTTGTATTTCCCCCCCCCCATGTATGTGGCATACTTTCCTGTTTCTTGGATCTCACAATTTTTTGTTGAAAACTGAACATTTTATAAAATGTATTTTAACAACTCTAGTATCAAAATTCTCTACACTGCTCTACCAAAGCTTTTTAACATTGATTCCATTTTTATTGATGCTGATTATTTGTTTAGCACTCTCATGAACTCATTCTGTAGATTCGACATTTATTGCCTGTAGTGTGGGGTCACTGAGCTCTCTGCTAAATTATTTTTTAAGTTCTTATTTTTATTTTTAAGCCTGTATTCTAGGAGTCGCACAGGGTCAGTATAATTTAGTGACCTAAATGACTGGTCAGAGGATTTCCTTAAATGCTTGTCTGTCTTCCACCTTTGCTCAAGGAATCTTTGTGAGAAGTACTACTTCAATCTTCAGACAATTTATAAGACAGCACTAATCTTCATTTTGTACTTATATAAAACCTCAGCCAGAGGTGATCTCCTTTCCCAGGTCTTCCCTGGGAATGTGTACACTCTTGCACATTGTGCAACCTTTTAGACATCCAGGAATATGTTGGAGCTTTTCAAAATCCCTATGGTTGGCTAAATCTACAGGATTCCTTTTAAAATCCTGGCCAGACTCTTTGCCTAAACTGAAATCACAGCCTTAAGCAGTGGATACCTTGCCAACAGTCACTATTGTTTCAGCAAAGTCCTTGGGGTTAGGCTTTTTCTTCCCCCAGCTGAGCTGAGGTCCAAGTCAAATCAAATAGCCAACCACTCAGAGAATAGTTTTTCCCAGGGAGCTGCAGCATGGACAAAATAAGAACTGTGCTTTGGAGCTGCTACTTTTAGTGGATCTCCAAAAGTAGTAAGATCTCTTCATTGTCTGTAATGCTGTCAGCTTTTGCTATGCCACTAAGCTGGGGATGGAGGGAAGATGGAAATCACCTCACCTCACAGATCCCACCATTTTCTCAAGGTTCAGTAGTTTTCTCTCAGGCAGTGGATTTTCAGTTCATTTTCTGGTTTTGGTTAATTGCCAGAATTCTAAAATGGTTTATTGTAATTATTTTGCCCATGTTCTTGTTGTTTTGGAGGGAGATCAAATATACTGAGGCCCTCACTCCATTGATCTAAAAGCCAATCAAGCTCTGAAATACTAATTCTATCTTCACATAGTTTTTGAAACAAAAAAGCACTTTTAACAAAAAAATTGTTAAAAAATATACTTATAAAATGTTGGATCACTGATTCTTATCTCCAGTAGAAGCATGAAAGAATTATTTCAATAGGAGAGAAACTAATCTCTGAGAGGGAAAAAATAAACTGCACGAGCAATGTCTCACTGTACTATATCTTTCCTGCTAATATGTAAATAATCAAAAATAAGATGATTCCTGGTCTGAGATTCACTCTCAGCCCCAGAATACGTTCCCAAGTCTTTTTTGGACAACAGACATCAGTTCAAATCAGAGCAAGAAAGACTATTCCATCTTGTCTTACTTGGCTGAGATAGGCCAAATCCAATTCAACTCTCACAGTGATAAAGTAGTCACAAAAGACTAGGAGTGAGAAATTTAACAGAGGACTCAGAGACCTACATAGAGCAACCCTATCACCCAAGATTTCTCCGAAGAGATTCAGTACAGCGAGATTGGTTTACCTCAGATACAACCAAGTATCAGCCAACCCCATGTAGTTGTAGTAGAATAAGGTGAATTTCTGTAAAGGAAAAGAGTAATTTATTACTATTATCTCTCTTCAACATTGCCTGATATTTGTAAGCCAAGGAAAGACCAAAACTGTCAGAAGAGGACAAGAAAAGTAAATATCCTTTAGCAAAGCTTTTATTTTCACAAACATGTTATGCTCCTTTTGTTGTTTAACAACCTGTCCCGAAACCTCTGACTCAAGAAAAGAATCATTTTATTCATTCATAATTCTGCAGTCTGAGCTGGGCTTAGCCAGGCCATTCTGATGGTCACCCATGATAGCTTTCAACTGACAGGTGGGAAGTGGGCTCAGCTAGGATAACTAGGCTTCTCTCTCCACATAATCTCAGGGCCTCTCTGTATCCATGTGACCTTTTTTCCAAATGCTCTCTCTGGGAAGGTAGCCAGATTTCTGACATGATTATTCAGGTCTCCAAAAAACACAAAAGCAAAAGCTACTTGGCCTTCCTAGGGCTTACACCCAGACCTGGAACAGTTTAATTCTGTTGCATTCTATTTGTTAAAGTAAGCTACAAACCCAGTCCAAATTGAAAGGAAAGGGTCTTCACAACCACATGAATACCCAGAGGTATGATTCACTGTAACCACCACCAATGCTACAGACAGTGATTTCCATCCACTTTACAATACCCAACTACTTAGTCAGGGGCACTAACCTCTCAATCTGTCAAATAAAAAAATGACAACAGTCAACACAATAGCTGGGAATGTCCTGTGTTGAGCCATAAGTGCATAGGTCACATAATAGAGTTACATCTTACTGTTCACATCACATAAGGTTGTGTACACCCATTGGTTAATGCTTTTATTTATTTATTTATTTAAATCCTCACCCAAGGATATGTTTATTGATTTTAGAGAGAGAAAAGGGAGAAAGAAAGAGAAACATTGGTATGACAGAGAAACATCAATGGGCTGCTTCCTGTATGCGCCCCCACCAGGGACGGAACCTACAACCTAAGTATGTGCCCTGACCAGGAATTGAACCCACCGGGGTTGATTGGTTAATTCCTGGTACCAGAAATCCTTATACACCAGTATAGGCACCTCGTTTTTCAGAAAGCCACTTTGGAGTAAAAAGGGTAGGTAAACACTATTTTTTAACAAATCAATCAAAATTCTATCTTGTGTTTTTGACAGATTGACAAAAAATACACTTTTTGGTGTGCTGCAGAATTTTAGTAATTAGTTTACATGTGTCATGAGATGAAAAAGGTTGAAAATCACTGCTATAATAAACTAAAACATTAAGGCCAATGTTCACATAACTGAAACGGGAAAAACACAAGAAACTATAAAATGGCTAAAGCTAAGGGGAGACCGGGCAGTTACACTCAGACCCCATTCTCTGAGCGTTCCCATACTGAGGGTCAATCTAGGGTCACTGAGAATCTTAAACATAGGTGGAAGGGAAATTTGAACCTGATTAATCACTTATAAGCCATATGGCTTTGGACAAGTCATCTTTCTATATTTCAGCTGCTCAATTATACAGTGAAAAATAAGACAAGAAATAAGAAAAAGGCTTTAAAAGCTAAACTGCTATACAAATATAGAAAGTATTATTTATATAATAGGATTCTAAGTATAGACAACTGAGCTAGGCTCAATTCTACTAATAAAATTATAATAATCATAGTTAATTAATCCATGTGCTAAATTACTACCACAGCAATGATATTACACATAACAATAGGCTAAAATTACACTATGTTCAGTTACTATAAAGAGTAACGATACCAACACTAACTGATTTATTGTTTTCTGATTATACGTGTATGTCAGGTGCTGCTAGGTACTTCAGGTAAAATTCTAACTAACCCTTACAATAACTCAAAAAGGTAGGTATTATCCCTCTTTTACAAATAAATAAACTGGGTCAAAATACTGATTACTTAAGTAACCTGTCCATGGTCACACAGCTAGTATATAGAGAATCTACTATGAATGTTTAATGTACAATCAGTACTTGATAAATATTTGTTGTCTACGTTAATGAAGAAATGAAGCAAGCCAGGACTATCTGGCATTTAAAGCAAGGAGTCTTTCAACTATATCAAAATATCTCACTCTCACAATTCCTATTTTATATGCAGCTATTGAAACAGTAATCACAGTACACATATCTAATTAACATCAGCAATTTATCACCTTCCTCATCTGCAAAATGGTTTCCCATCTAAAAAGTAACCTTCATTTTTTTAAACATCTAATATCTTTATTCCATCTACTGAGTCTTAATGAGTTATATCATATTATAATGTAGAAATACGAAGTGAAAAAAAGTGGTACATTTACATAACAAAATATCTCTAAAATAATACCAAAAAAAGCAAATATTTTAAATGGTAAAATATGTGCAGTATCAATGACAAATAAAAATTCATATCCTTATATTAGGAAGAGGTCTTGAAAGTTAAAAGGAGGAGGAGGGTTAGAAGAAACTGTCCAACAGAAAAATGGGTTAAAGATATAAATGACAGTCAACAAAATAAATACAAATGGCTAATAAATATGCTTTTTAAATTTTTTAGTCATTAATTATCAAAAAATGCAAATCCAACTATAATTTTTTTAACTATCAGATTGACCAAAAAACAAAAAAAGAAAAAAATACAAAATTTGATCATGCCCTGTATCGAAGAGCATACAAAAAAATAACTGTGTGTATGTGTGTGTGTGTGTGTGTGTGTGTATTAAATCACTATTGGTGGGAGTTTACAATGGCATGACCTTTTCAGAGAGCAATCTAGTAGTTGATTAAAACATTCAAAATACACCCACATCTTCTAGTCAGCAATTCTATTCCTAAGGATTCATATAATGGAAGTAAATGGACAGTTGCACGAAAGAGCACACATAATTAATCATAATTATCAAAATACAAGATACCACCTAAACGCCTAGCTAGAGAACTGCTTAAGTAAATGATACATTCATATAATGCCAATAGATATAAAATATTATTATCATGAAAGATGTTTAAGATACGATTAGCAAAGTTAAACAAATTCTATGCCTCAATTTTTGTAAGACCTGCATTTGCAGAGGAGAGAGAGCACATGTCTGAGCAGAAGCACACTCAAGAGCACCAGAGTGAGCACACAGGCATGCACTGAGACAGGCCCTGAGAAAGTATGGCAGCAATCTTGGGAGCAGATATGCAATCATCAAGCAGAATGACTTTTTTTGCTTTCTTCTTTGTAACTTTCTGAATTTTCAGAGTGTTTTACATTGAGCATATGTAATTTTTGTGATCTTAATACAATATAATTATTTGCATTTACAATAATGTCAACTGTGCCCTGGCCAGATGGCTCAGTTGGTTGGAGCATCGTTCCATACACCAAAAGGTTGCAGGTTCAATTTCCCGTCAGGGCACATACCTAGGTTGCAGGTTAAAGCCTCAGTTGTGATGCTTATGGGAAGCAGCCATCTGATGTTTCTCTCTCACACTGATGTTTCTCTTTCATTCTCTTTCTCTTCCCCTTCCTCTTTGTCTAAGATCAATAAGAACATATTCTCGGGTAAGGGCTAAAATTAATAATAATATTGTCAACAGTCATAAAGCTGAGACTCTATATAAACTTTCAAGTGTTATTTTTAATATAAAATACTGGTTAAAAATCAGTTGACATGGAAGGAATGAATGACAGAGGAATGAATATGTGCATTCATTCCCCTTTCAAATGATAGATTCAAAATCAAAGTCCTTTATAGTAGTTTCTTTCTTCAAATCATTTAGAATTTGTAATTTCTTTAATAATGTCACTTCAGTTCTAACTAGGGTGGCTCAGTTAGTTTGGCATCTTCCCACAAAGCAAAAGGTCTAATCCTGGTCAAGGCACATGCCTGGGTTGCAGTTCAATCCCCAGTGGGGGTGCATGCATATCAGGCAACTGATAGATGTTTCTCTCTCACATCAGTGTTTCCCTCCCTTTCTTTCTCCCCCCATTCCCCTCTCTCTAAAATTAAACAAATCTTTTCAAAAAAAATAAAAATGTCACTTCAAAATTTAGAAGTGAACTAGAAATGTTTACATGCTATAAAATATACATGGCATAAGTATGCTACATTATATGTCTTTGAAAAATAACTTATATATATTAAAGCCAAGAGACTTTGATTCTATAGCTCAAAAAAATCTAGTATCACTTGGTATGTTAAACTGGGAGCCTAACTTACACTTGTTACTCGTACAGTATAATGAGATTCTCAATTAGCCATGGATATAATTATCCATGATTAACTTTGTTTTTGGTTTTTTTTTAAATCCTCATCCAAGGACATGTTTATTGATTTTAGAGAGAAGGGAGAGGGAGAGAGACAGACAGATAGATATAGAAAGAGAAAGAAAAAGAGGAACATTAATGTGAGAATCATCAATGGGTTGCCTCCCATATGCGCCCAGACTGTGGGTCAAACCCACAACCTAGGAGTGTGCTCTGACCAAAAATCAAACCCGTAACCTTTTGGTGTTCAGCTGATGTTCCAATTAACACCCAGGCAAAGCACAGAATTAACTTTGCTTTTTAGTTTAGCTATTGTACTCACAGGGTAAGCAGATTAGTTATTTGCTTTGTAGTTCTCTCCATTATATTTACTTTGCATTTACTTTATTTTACTTTCCAGGAAAATAAAAAGACTTAAAATAAATTATACAACTTGGACAGTGGATGGGCAAATGGGCTGCTACTACTCTCAGGACTGAGTGTAAATAACTCCCAGATATACCACTACCCTGTTTCCCACCTAGGGACTTTGGAAACTTTGAAGACTATTTTGGTTGCCACAACTGAGGAGCAAGAGTGGTTCTGATGGCACTTTGAACCACATTTGCTTAAACATGGTGCTACTTGTGGACCCCACCAAGAACAGTCCCATCCATAATGACAACAGTGTCTCTGTTAAGATAGGGATAATTTTCCTGCTCAATATTGTATTTCTAGACTATTACATGGTAGGCATTAAATAATTATTTGTTGAATA